TAATTATATTCGTTCAATTTTTTTTATTAAGTCAAACTAAATACTTGTAATACAAAAGAAAGCACAATTACCCGCCAATATGAAAATTACAATTTTCAAACTTTCCCGAAAATGTAATATTTTTGTTAGAAAGGCCAGGGACGTTTATATTTTTATCCGATATGGATGGATGACGACAGTTCCAAGTGATCATCTGAATATGATGTAAGGTTAACATTATTCGAGGTTTCGCCTCCAGATGAACCACCGCGCTTGCAATAATGCTAGATATCCGATTTTTAGAAATTAGGCTATCTTCTACGTAACTCTGCGCAACCGTGTTACTCTTCCACTTGCCGTGCATTTTCAGGGTTTCAAAACTTGCTCCTGCTTCAACCAAAAGAGTGGCTGACGTTCGTTTCAAGCAGTGACCGGTAAATTGATGAGGGTTATCTAACTTTAAGTATTTGGCAATTATATTTGGGACACTTCCTATGGTGTTTTTTCCGACAGGTTGCAATGTGCAACAACCTTTCCTATATGTGAGGAAAAATCGGCGTTCTTTCGTATGCTTTGGTCTTAGTGCTAGGTATAATTGTCGAACTAACTTAAGAGCATTTATTTCTTCTTCCTCCACGATTGTAAAACCTTTAGACGTGCCTGTTTTAGTCTCTGGCACGTTTACAATTACAACAGATCCTTTATCGGTGATATCGTCAATACACATTTTGACCATTTCATCCCTTCGTAATCCACCAAAAACACCCATCACCAAAACTACTTTATGCAAAAGATAAATAACGTTAGGGGCACGTTTGATAAACTCAAAAACTTGATCTCCTGTTAAAACCTGTGATTTTTTTGGTTTATATCCCTTCGATTTGACTTTTAAAAAGTAAATTAGTTGATTATAATTTGAAATGTCAGTTTTCTTTTTAACTATGAAAGTTGATTTCAAAAGAGAGTATTTGGTCCATAGCGACGTAGGAGTGTATTTCTCAGACTAAAACAAAATGTATTATCAATAATTTTGCATATTTAGGTAGGTATATGTAAAACTTACCAGTTCCTGAAAGTACGACAATAGCACGGTCTCATTTATAGTAAATATTTTATGTTTTGATTGCCAAGCTGTAAATGTTTCGAATTCTTTTTCGTACTTCTCCTTTGATTTAAGCGGTAGCAAAGTTTCTGTTGCCTTTTGCGCATTTTCTTGAACAAATTTTGGTAGCGTATTCATCTTTATTGCAATTGGAAAGCAAACTTGACGTTTCTAAGTAAACAGTTTATTTTGTTTCATAGACTACCATATTATTGTATTGTATTTACGGAAAGAACGCGTTTGCCTCAGCGAAAGCAAGTAACTAATTTTGGATTGTTTTTTAAGAATAAAGTGAAAAATAAACAAATAAAAGTGATTCATGCAGTTTTTTCAATTTTTCAGATTTATTTCCAATAATTGCACATATTCTGGAAAATGTATCAGCAACAGTATTGTATTTGCCTGGACGATATACAATATCATAATCATAACAAGAGAGTTCTAGCCTCCATGCCCTCCATCTCATAATTTTTTCATTTTTTCATTTTTCCAGATAAATTATTATCAAACATAAACGAGACTGATGTCTGATCAGTAATAAGAAGAAAATGCCTACCCATTAAATAGTGTCTCCACTTTCTGTCAGCTTCAAAAATTGCTAGAGCCTCTTTTTCAATAGCTGGATATTTTCGTTCAGTATTACTTAATGTTCTGGAAAAGAAAGCCACTGGACGACCTGATTGAGATAGAGTTGCAGCTAATGCAATATCCGAAGCATCTGTTTCTACCGAAAACTTGGATTCACTATCAATAGAAGAAACACTAGCATTTTCAATGTCCTTCTTTAGATTTTCAAAAGATCTTTGAGCTTCTTCCGAAAGTGGAACTGAACATTGAGTCAATGGTTGGATTTTATCTGAAAATCTTGGTATGTCTGGAATAATGTGAGAACATTCCAATAGCTCTACGTAAAGAAGAGACATCTGAAGGTAATGGTAAGCTTCTAAGAGGCTTTAGGCGTTCCGGATCAGGTTTTATAGTTTTGTTGCTAATAGAATATCCCAACAAATTTATCGATCGCAATGAAAAGGAACTTTTCTCTTGATTTAAAGTGAGATTATACTTATTAGCAGCATCTAAGAAATTTTTAAGATTCCTATGATGATCTTCCTGATTTAGTCCGCATACAGTTACATCATCGAGATACGCATATGTATTTTTCAAACCTTTAACACAAATTATTTCGTCTATTACTCGCTGAAAAGCTGCTACTCCGTTAGTAACACCAAAAGGAATCTTTTGAATTGAAACAATTGACCACATGCTTCAAAAGCTGTATACTGCCTTTCAGTAACAACAATAGGAATTAAATGATAAGCACTACGAAGGTCTATAGTGCTAAATACTTCATATTTGGCTACCTTATTAACTATATCTTCTATTCGAGGAAGAGGGTAAGCATCTAATCGGGTGAAACGATTAATAGTACGCGAATAATCTATTACCATTCTATTTTTACGATTCTCATTATTAATAACGAGAACTTGAGCTCTCCGTGGTGATACACTTGGCTCTATTATATCCTCTTTGAGGAGACGTTGAACCTCCATTTCTATGAACTTGTTGTCACTATCACAATGTCGACGAGATTTTATCGATATTGGTCGGCAGTCGGGAGAAAGATCAAAAAAGAGTGATGCTGATGGTTTAACCTTAGCAGCAATCAAACCACAAATTATAAGAGGGTCTTGGTTCCCTCTGAAAGTTATTTGTACACTGGAATGGCATTTTAAAAAATCACGACCTAGAATAATACCAGCACATAGATCTGGAAGAATATTGAGATTAATATTTTTGTAGTGCCTGTCAGATATTTCCAGATCGTCCATATATTTTATGACGTTAACGTAGCAGAAACCATAGCTACTTTTCCGCGAGACGGAATAATACTTAGCTTTAACTTTTCAGCAACTCCTTGATTAATAAAGCTTAGTGTACTTCCAGTGTCGATTAAAGCAAATAATGTTACATTATTAAGCTTAGTGGGAACGGTGGCTACCTCTAAAGATGTTGGTGTAGAATAATGAACGTAGATATTAAATAAAAGCGTATTAAGAGTGAATTAAATATGTAATGTGTGAAATACATACGTTAATCAAAACTATCTGTCAATCTACATAAACATTCTAATTCTAGTAGTCGCTTACGTCACATCTCCTCTTCCCGGGTTTCCCTTTTCATCACAATCACAAGTTTAGTCTTTGTGGTGCTTTGATAGCGCGTCTAGAGCAAATTGTTGATGTAGGGTTATCCGTAGAAGAAAGTGGTCTCAACATAGTTTTATTTCGACGATATAATCCTTCCTTTGTAGCTACGGTATAGGATCTCGGAGCTACGTTCTCTACAATTGTTCCCTCTTCTTGCCTATCAGGGATGAATACTGAGGAACCAATCTCAAGAGGGACTTCTTCTTTCGATCGATGACGTTGGTCGAAGTATTCTGCCTGTTCACTACGATAGCACTTGTCCCACTCACGAAATTGTTTATGGTTCACGTTTTTTGGAATAAGTTCTTTGGTCAGGAGAGGAATCCGAGTGCGCAACTTCCTTCCCATCAGGAGTTCTGCTGGGCTGTATCCAGAAAGCCCGGGAGTGGCCCTATATTCTAGCAAGGCGAGAGTGGGATCCTTATTCTTGCAAAGAATCTTCTTGAGAGTTTGGACTGATCGCTCCGCTTCTCCATTCGACTGATGATATAAGGGGCTGCTCGTCACAATCTTGAAATCGTAATTTTTTGCAAATGTTTTCCATTCTTCGCTTGTAAATTGGGATCCAGAGTCGGAGACTACGACTTCTGGAATCCCAAAGCGGGCAAAACAACTCTTCATTTTTTTTATTAGTTCTGTCACAGACATAGTTGTGACATTGATAATATCCAAATACCTCGAATAGTAGTCCACCACAGCCAGATAAGTACATTTTTGGAATTCGAAATAATGTACAGCTATTTTTTGCCATGGGTACAAAGGAGTAGGGGAAGGGATCATCTTCTCGGTATATTGGCGTCTATGCTTGGCGCAAATGTTACAATTTTCTACCACATTACTTAATTCTTCAGTGATACCTGGCCAAAAAACAGATTGTTTAGCCCTCAGGAGTGTACGGTTTATCCCGAAATGACCGTCATGCAGTTTTTCCTTTATTTCTTCACGTAGCTCTGCTGGTATAATCATTCTTTCATTGTAGCAGACTAGACCATCAATAATTGTGATACCATTACGGAATGCGAACCATCGCTTCATCAACTCCTGTACATCTTTTTGTGATCTGGCCAACCGTTCTCAACATACTCGACTAACAGTTGACATTCACGATTCTGACTTTGGGCGTTTTTAATTTCCTCGAGTCTGGATGGAGTTGTTGGGAATCCCGAAGAAACCACCTTGATATGAGCTTCGACTTTTGCAGTGAAATCATCCTCCGAATCAGAAAGAGGTGCTCGGCTCAAAGTATCTGCTGTAAACATTTCTTTTCCTGGAATGTGCTCAATGGTGTAATCGAATTTCATTAGCCTCATCTTAAATCGTTGAATTCGTATAGGTATGCTATCCAGGTCTTTACTGCCTAATAATGGAACAAGGGGTTTATGGTCGGTTAGAATTGTGAACTTCTTCCCCATTAGAAATTTAGAGAATTTTTCCGCTGCCCAAGCGATTGCAAGAGCTTCTTTTTCTATTTGGGCATACCTTTTTTCAGCTGATTGAAGTGATCTAGATGCGCACATTACAATTCGCAGTTTATCATGTTCATTCTGTAGTAAAATTGCGCCCAGTCCGTAAGCTGATGCATCAGCCATAACAGTTGCTTTTGCTGTTACATCATACCGTGTCAAACAAATTGATTTCTTAACTAATTCAATTATTTCTGAAAGAATTTTCTGATGATCTTGGGTCCAACAAAACTTTCTATTTTTCTTTCACGAAAAGCCTCCGTTTTCCCTGCAAGGTTTGGAACGAACTTGTTGAGTTGATTTAGCATGCCATTCAGACGACGAATTCCTGATATGTCTTTTGGAGTAGGTAAATCTTCTAAGGCTCGCACACGATCAGGATCAACCCTTATTCCTTGAGAATCAATTATATTACCCAGAAATTTCACTGATGTTTGTGAAAAAGAGCATTTTTCTTTGTTTAAAACTACATTAGCATCTTTCAGTCTATTCAAAACTTGAGTTAATCGATAATCATGTTCTTCTGGCGTCTTCCCATGAATAAGTAGGTCATCCATATGACATAAGACTCCCTCTAGTCCCTCCAATAGTTTAGATATTTGAGCAGAAAAAAATTCTGGGGCTGATGTGATTCCAAAAGGTAGACGTTTAAAGAAAAATCTTCCAAATGGTGTAATAAATGTTGTTAATTTAGCAGTATCAGGTGACATTTTTATCTGCCAAAACCCAGATTGCGCATCCAATTTTGAAAATATTCTAGAGCTTCCAATCTGGCCCAAGGTTTCTTCAACATCTGGTAATATGATTTTTGGGCGTTTCACATTCTTATTCAAATCTGTATAGTCTACACATAGTCGTAAACTACCGTTTTGCTTAATGACTGGGACAATAGGTGCACACCAATCAGTAGGCTCTTCGATTTTTTCTATTACTCCCATCTTTAACATTCTTTGCAACTCTGCTGCTACTTTAGGACGGAGAGGAATTGAAATATTCCGAGGGGCTCTAACTGAATATGGTTTAGCATCATCAATTAGTTCAATTTTGTATTCTCCTGGAATGTTACCTAATCCCATAAAAAGCTGGGGATACTCTTGTACAACTTTATCTAAGGCGATTGATTGAATATTGCCTGATTCATACGATTTTCGAACTGTGATTAGGTTAAGAGATTTTATGGCTGTAATTCCGAGCAAAGGTTCACTTAAAGTAGGAATTACATATATTTTTTCTTTCACTTTCTGACCATTAAATTCTAAATCTGCCGTAAACATGCCATCCACCACCATGATATTTTGGTCGGCATTTTTTAGAGTTTTGTCTGACTTGAAAAGATTTGGAATTTGCTTTAGAATATTAGATGGTATGGCTGTAACTTCTGCCCTAGAGTCAAGTTTAGCTTTAACCTTTTGATTATTAATAAAAATGTCAACGTACCAAGCATTGGAAACTCCACCAATGGTATTCAACGCTCCAAGGTACGTTGCGTCATCCTCTTGCTCGCTGACTGAAATTTGCGAGGATTCGCGCAATTCCCCAATTTTCTTTGTGAATTTACCCACAATGGTATTTGATTTGCACATTTTTTTAAAATGGCCAACTTTTCCACACTTACAGGTATAGTCCTTAGCTGGACAAGAATTTCGTGGGTGTCTAGGACCCCCACAATTCCAGCACCCACCTTCCATAATATCAGTTGTGGACTCCTTTAGTGGAAATTTGCTAGACGAACTGGAATGGATACGATCAACTTCTGATGAAGGTTTTGATTGAATCTCCTCCAGTTCATAAGTTTGTTTTTTTATGGATTCTCTCTGTTTTGCCTTTTGTATAGCTTTCTCCAAAGTTAGGTCAGCATCCTCTTGTAGTTGTGAGGATAAAGTCTTATCTAAAATACCGACAACTATACGGTCACGAACAAGTTCATCTCTAAGATCCCGGAAAGCACAACGTTCGGCCATCAAGCTGATATCAGTGAGAAACTGTTCAAAGATCTCCCCTTTTTTCTGGTTTCGAGAATTAAATTTAGCACGCTCATAAAGTATATTCCGCTTCCCTATAAAAGCTTCGTCAAATGCGGCCTTTACAGTTTTATAGGAGTTAAGTTTTTCTTCAGGAAGTTGGGAGCGAGTCAATATATCTTCAGCATTCTCCCCCATACAATAAATTAAAGAAGTCACTTGTTTTTCTTCTGGTTCCTGATCAAGCCCCGACGCCATCCGGTATCTTTCGAATCTTTTAAACCATTTTTCCCATTTTTCTGGGCACTGGAAGTCAAATTGAGCCGGTGGTTGAAACGTGATGTGTCGACGGCCGACCGATGAATTATCTTGCAATTCACCAAATGATTCATCAATATTCTTCTTATTTTTCTTTCGACTCATGCTGCCACCATGTAGAATAATGAACGTAGATATTAAATAAAAGCGTATTAAGAGTTAAATATGTAATGTGTGAAATACATACGTTAATCAAAATTATCTGTCAATCTACATAAACATTCTAATTCTAGTAGTCGCTTACGTCACAGTTGGGATGGTGGCTTAAGTAGTTTATCGAACTGTCATCTAGAACTGATGCAACTTGATCAGAATTTTAGGTCGTATTTCTTTGACGGGCTGAAAAATGACAAACTGTCCTCTTTTTGAACATCGATTACAAATTGCATTCCTAGCTGGACAGCGATTTCGAGTATGTGAATTAAATCCACAATAAAAACATAATGTTGCTGCAATTACAGATGGTTCTGACGAGGAAACATTTTCTGATGAGTGAGAATATGTTTGAGATTGAGTTTTTGAAACTTTGTTTGCCATCGGAGTTTTGTTAGCATCAGATTGTTGTTGAGCTAATTCTAAGAAACGCGCTTGTGCATAAGCTTCATCAAGAGTAAGAGAAGCATTCTCTAATAAATAATCTCTGTCTAATATGAGGAGATTGTAAACCTCCAATAAATGAGTCTATGATATAATCGTTTCTACTTACTTCTTGCTACGGGGGTTCCTTCTGGATTTGAAGATTACCATCGGTTCCGCCCGGCAAGGCAAACCGTCTTCTTCTCAGGCTGCTCAAACGATAAAAATAAATGCTCCGGCTAACTCAAATCGGTGGGCTTTTAACTCTTTTGAAACTGCGTAACAAACCTTAAACTGCCGCCTACCAGTCTCCTGCCTCAACTCCTACTCCTCTCTTTCCTTCCCCTCGTTCTTCGTTAAAGACAGGCACATTGAAACCAAATAGATAATATATTGAAATGAGATTAGCGATACAAACAATTTACAGGGATCTAGCAGTTCTTCTCTTCTCCTTGTAAAAACACTAGCTTAACAATGTCAACTAAACTAAATAAAAAATCCTAACAGGTGAGACTAATTTACTCAAGGGGTGGCCATCCTCTACAGTTTGAAAATTGCAACAACAGGTAATCGTTTTTTAATCCAGCGTGGGCTGGGACTTATTTAAATAAACACAAAAATTTATCCTACTCTTTGGTAATCGTTCATTGGACTTTAATAAACAATCAAATCAAAAAATTTTTTTTTACTATAGCTTAATTACCAAAAAGTGGAATTTTACAGAATGTTACAAATTTAATTAGACTAACCTTTACAACATTTGTACAGCCGATCTTGTGAACTGCTCTTTCCTCTGGTACAGGGTGGATGTGATGAAACCTGGCACTTAGGTCTCTGTGACTTCCTAGGGGGTGGCTTGAATTTAACACACGGAAACAAAAATCCACGGTGCCTATCCTTCCTCGGAACGAAAGCAAAGTTTAGTGTTTGAACGGAAACTTAGTCCAGGAAATCCTTCGCGTGGCGAGTGGGAGACGGCTAGTTGCCAAAGTTTCTACCCAGCACGTGTATTTAATTTTATTTTATTAGTTTATTAGCTTGGACCGCCTGCGGGAGACGGATTTTTGAGTTAGCGGTACGGCAGAACACAAACTTTTATGATCACTATCCGACGGTAAACCGCGATGGTTCAAAGTATTATTTCACCAGCTCTTCTTGGGGCAAATATCTCTCCGAAACGCAGCGCTCCTTCGACAAATGACCGTACGGCACTAGTAGGAAATTCCACCTGGGGCGGATCCCGAAATTCTGCGCCTTGAGGACTAGGGCAGCACTTTGATTATATATCCTCGAGAAATCACAACGTATCCTAACGCGATTCACTGCATCCAAAGTAAACTGGGGTGAAGCTCAAGGGTTCGCCAAAATATCACCTGATTGGAACCTGGGTCTTCTTCGCCAAAAAATCAACGCGAAAAGAAAATAACACTTCGGAACGGGTGCAAAAAGCACGCAACTGGGAGCAACCGAAATAAGCCGGTGGCTCAAACCGCCAAGTGTACCAAAAATCGCTCAAGGTACGTGTTGACCGCTTGACGTACTAACCGCGAGTCTCTTCGAAAACGCGATCACTCAAAGTACGTGTTGACCCCTCGACGTACTAACCGCGAGTCTCCTCTAAAACGATCCCCTTCTACAGAATTGAAATGAAAAAACCACACCCAAATTACCATAAAACAAAAATGGCTCCCGCTAGAAATTCTCCCATTGGTTTAGATAAAGAAGACTTAACCCACTCTAACTTCGTCGTCAACCTCACGGAACTGCTGACCAAAACTGATCTCACGGTTTTCTGTTGATGACGTGAAAACTTCCTTATCTCTTGACGGCTCGGTGCTACATCCGCTCCTTTTCTCGGTCTAGACGGCGCCAAAGTTGATAAACGAACGACAAAAAACTCGCATTACTCATGATGACGTCAATCAGCTTTGCACTCTTCCCACGACGAAATTAAATCTGAGCGAAATTAAATCTATCGGACCATAGTCTTGAGCGAACCGAAATGCCCAAACACAAAATTTCTAACCGGAACAAATAATGAAATATACAGGGTGACCTTCACTATCATGACAAGAAATTCGAAATTTTTAATGAAATTTGGCGCGAAATAAAACCACTCGTTACATTCTGCAGTCACAGCTTTAAAATTACAGTCTTTAGCGAGAAGTTTCAAAGCCTCAAGATATTGATCAATGGATTCTCCAGATTCTTGATTACGATGACTAGGCTTGTGACGAGCATACACTTCATTAACAGGCTTGACATACAAATTCCGAAGTAAACTTATAGCATCATTGTATGTACCAACTTCGCTTATTCGTTCATACGCTGCTGGGCTAATGAAGTTAATAGAGTCTCAGCTTCTCAGATTCGTTAGGTTGCACAGATATCAAAAAATTTACGAAGGTCTTATACCAATAATAATTGCATTCATTAGCAGCAGAACTACAATCTGGGTCAATGTTCAACTTTTGAGGTTTTAATAGCCGTTCCATACTTTTGAGATTTAGTTTAATAAATTGTTGTACTAAATACCTTTATCTAGGCTTTTTAAACTAAATTGAAGATATTAAACAGTTAATATAATACCTTGAATTGGCATTATAAAACAATTGTAAAGTCAACGATATGGTTACTAATTAAATCCATGGTACAATAAGACAATTATAGTTATTTATGCATCAAGGGCATTAAGGCAATATTTATGCCGAGGTCAAGCAAGGGCTAAAGAAACTGCAAGAATGATGCATCTTGCAAAATACAAAAGGGTGGTTGGATTGTTTTGGAGAAGACAAACATCGGCCGGAAAGAAGGTGAACCCATACAAAGCTTGGTCTCCATCACGGACGAGAGCGCGCTGACGAGGTTTTGGGAAATGGAAGAAGTCCAACACCAAGAGATAACCTCCATACCGTAAACCTACAGCTGAAAGGAGAACTTGAGGAGTTGAGGGGGACAAATCTCAACCGCCCGCCTTTTACAAATGTTAAGGAAGTTTTTCTACGATTGCGACTTCGAATCCAATACCCAGAAGCTTCGACAATTGTGAAACAGGACGACTTACTAACGCGATCGCACAATCAAGAAGTGGCGAAGGTCATTCAGCATCAGTTCATCGAGTTGTTGAAACGAGGAGGGTTCAAAGTTAGAAAGTGGAAAAGCGATTTCTATCCTGTCTTAAGATCTACAAGAAAAGTGGTTCATGGATCTTGGGCCAGAAGACATAAAAAAGACACTAGGCGCCGATCCAAGATGTCTTTCGGTTCAAAGTAGATTTACCAAACAAAGATCCCAGATCGCAAGATTATATTGCCCACTACCCTACTAGCAACCAGAACTTTGAACATAATCCATTGAGTGGGACGAGAAACTTCAAACCCGGTTAATGAATAAGTAGATCTCACGCAAGTAGGGAAGATCTAATCCCAAGATGGATCTACTATGACGGGAAAGTAACCATTGAGCTTCATGTCTTCTGTGACGCCTTAGTAAGGGCCAACGGCGCCGTGAAGCAGGGTACTGTGTGCAAATGGGCAAATAAAAATATCGATGAAGAATACCCTACCGCGGTTCGAGCTCCGAGGAGCAGTCCTAGCGACCAAGCTCTTAACAGGAACGAAAACAAAAGCTCCAACCTGGGAAGCATTCAAACATTCGCATGTTCAGGCTCCGTGGATCAAGGATAGCCCCGAAAAAATACAATAATTTGGCGGGGAACAGAATTAGCGTGGCCGACAAAACCATCTAGAACCATGTTAAGTCAGAGGATAATCCAGCCGACCTGATTTCTCGAGGCACAACTTTGAATAAGCCCCGCACAAGTGAGTTGTTGTGGCACGGACCACGATAGCTCCAGGAAGCACCAAGTTGAGGGACACATCCCAGAACACAGGCCTCTCAAAATTAACCTCAATCCCTTCCTGGATGCAATGGTACTATTAAAAGTAGGGGGGTAGATAAACGAATGCAGCCTGCATGTCGACACAAGAGAAACGCCCCTTAATAAATCCTCCAAACAGTCGTTTATAAACAAGTGCTATCCACATACTTATTATTCTTATCTGGTAAACAAAATGTGATCAATTATTTTGATGTCCCTTTTACACGAAAATCAAACCTTACAAATAATCTGTAAGGATACGAAAAACACCTGATTCACTTTTATCATTTTACAATGTCTTTTAAATTTAAATAAAAGCAATAATTAGGTACATAAAAAACGAATCATCGACCGAGTCTGTCTGATAAACATAACATAGTGCGTGGTACCACGGCAGTAATCGATATTTGTTTGTTGCAATTTCTCACTACCTACATTAAAGATGCTGGAAGAGGCTGTTTCTATCCAATTATGTCGAAATATATGCTTTTTACATCAATTCTGCGTAGAAATGTTAATAATCCCAATGTTGACGTTTCATTTTGTCGTTAGCTGGGGCCGATTATTAAATTTGCAAAAACTGACAATTTGATAAGATGAATGAACCTCGATATTTTACATGATACTCATTCACCTTGTTTACATTTCT